TTTAACTATTATTTGAGAAAAAGATGTTAATCTATTTTATACTATTGGAAATATCGATACACATATTTACTACTCATATATAAATAAATAAATACTTCTCCATAATACGAGACTTCGGATCTTCTCTAATGTGTTATTGAATTTCACAATTTTTAATTAATAGAGTTTTTCAAAAAACCAAAAACGAGTTTGAAGATATGGTAAGAGATTTTCTAGGGTTTTGATAGCCGAGAAATAATGTTTAACTCGATCTCTTAAAATTTTTCAGTTTAAAATTCTGAAAACTAAGCATGTTTTGATGTAGATGTACTCTTATAGGATTGAAAAAATCAATTAATTAAAATGAATCATCTATTGTGAAGAGTTTTATATTCAATTGAGAATAATTTCATCGAGATTGAAAACATATTAAACAGTATTTTTTTTAATTTTAAATTCTTTTCTTACTTGTTTAATAACAAATTCATTGATATGTTCACTACCCGTTCTAAATGCTAAACAATAATCTTTATTTGGATCTTTTTTTAAACATTGATAAAGATGATGAAGTTGATTATGTAATTCAAAAAAACGAGTCTTTTGAATTTCAATTTGATTTTCCAACTAAATAAAATTTTTAAATAGAAAAAATTCAACAAAAAACAAACACATAAGACTAACTTGATGTATTGTTGATTCAATTTCATTGAGACAATCAGCAGTAAGACAACAATCAAATTGTTCAAGAAGAAGATATTGAACAGTCGATTTAGGTGAAGATGGTGTCCATTCTAATTGTTCAGAATATTCTTTTAATTTTAAATAATATGATGATACTTGAGTTAAACGTAAATCCTAAGAAAATATATTTATTTAGAAAAAAAAATAAATGTAAAATTTTGTTTTTGTTATTAACTTTTAATTCGTTAAGCATTTTGACATGATCTTGTATTTTTTTATTAATTTCTACAAGTGAAATTGAAAGATCTGAAAGAAAATAAAATACCAAAAAAAAAGAACAACTCATAAATAACAAACTTTGATTGAATTCAATGGATGCACTATTAAGTAATGTGCATAAATAGTTTTCTTTATTTTCAAGTTCATTTCGTTGATGAATCAATTGTCCTTCCTTGATTAATAATTCTTGCATTTTTCTATCAATATACATTTCTTGTTCCTTTAATTTTAATCCATCAAATACAGAAGTCTAAATTCACAAAAAAAAACAAAACTAAATAGAAAAAGAACAAAAATTAATTTTATTTTCACTTCTATAGATGATGAAAGTCCAGTACGTTCAACTAAATCTTCATAATCATCAAGTAATTGTTTTACTAATTGTCGGCGTTTTATTAATTGTTCTTTATATAATGTCATTTTATTATCAAGTAGTGTCTAGAAATAAAAAGACCTATCATCAAAAATTTTTGAAAAATTTAAATTTAATACTACTTGTGTATATTCTTCAACTTTTGCAGCACGTGATAACCATTGATGTTCATTAAAACCAAATGAAGACCATAAACGATACCAATTAGAACATGTTGTAGCACGGTCAAGTACGAAACAATCTTTATTACCCATTAATGAAAGACTTTTACTAAATATTAAAAAATATGAAAAATAATGAGCATTGAAGAAAAAAAAACTATATACAATTGAATTTGTAATGTTTGAAAAACTGATTTTTTCTTTGGTTGAAGCATTGTGATTTAGAATCATTAAACAGATGAGCAAAAAATAGTTGTTAGCGGATCTTTGTTTTTGATAACCAACGATATCACTATAGAGGTAATTTATTACAAATACTGACATCTATGAAACTCGCATGTCAGTTTTATCTCAAAGATCATAAATATAGCTATTGATCTGAAACAATTGCTAAATATAAAAGCGTTGAAATCGATCAATGACATAATTTTCCTATAGAAAAATAAAGTAAATTTTTTCCAAAAATGAACTAAAAACTTACATGGCAATAACTATTAATCTTCATCGATTTACACTAAAAGTATGGATCATGTATAATTATACATATGTTCTATCGTCATTTCTACTATAGTTATAACAGTTCGGCCATAATGCCAATCTGAGAAAGTGTGAAAAACATTCTCCTATAGATATTGATGAAACCAAATACTTGAACTTGTTAAAATTCTTTTGCGACTAATTGGAGGGGATTTTTACGATCTTTCGCATTATTGATCCATGTGGTTACGCTCTCTAGCAAATGTACTGAGTTTGAAGTATCCTGTTACTAGTATGCCACAGAAACCTTTGCGTACTTCGGTACGTTAGGGTACTATATTAGTTTTTAGTACTTGACTACTACAAAATGCTTCTAAATGTTCAATCTACTAATTTGTTAAAAAACGTTTCATGGTACGGTATAGACACTAAGCAGGTACCTAGTAAGTATTCATATGCTAAGATAATTCTCAGGAGGGTATTCAAACAAGATTCTGTGCCATACTAGTAACAGGGTACCTGAAAAAGTACTTCAATGTCAACTGACCCAATACATGGGTACTTTGAACTCACTAGATTCACTAGGGTTAGTATATAGTTGAATGTTTTTTTTCCAATACCTTTAGACAATCATTGAAGTTTCAGTCTTGAGCTTAATTCGAACTATACAAGACTATTTTTTGATATGCTATGTAACTTTTTGGTTATTTTTTCAGCCATATGCCATACGTTGAAAAAGAATTTATAATAGGTAAGGGAAATAGTTCAACTTGAATTGATTTAATTTGAAGGATAAATATATAGTAACATGAGAGGAAGTACTATATTTTGTTTAATAGAAATAATGACTTAGATTTCCTAGAGCAATATATTAGTTGTTTTTGTAAAAATAAACTGCATGCTGATACATTCGGTAGCAAATTGTAACATGTTTATATTGACCTTAAAAACTTATAGATTCTACTGCTATGTATTTGATGAAAATTTTTATGTATCAGCCTGAATTAGCTCTCACAAAGTTATGAATAACTAAAGGTTCATCAGTTCTTATCAAAGAAATTATTTCAACAGTTCATTGGCTCATTTGATCTAAATTAATAAGATAGAGTTGATCAACTCCTGATTCTTATTATACTTCTTTGAGCCAGTCTATAATGCATGATTCATTGTATCTTCATTTTCGCTGAGCCATAGACCTACTTCACTTATTCTTTATGTCTTTATTTCAGAATGATAGATATTTTTTGTCCAAGTTGGCTGTAGAAGAAAATGGTATTCATGCGAGCATATAGTTTTTCTTGGAGTCAATGCAATCGTGAAAACTATATCATTACCATTACATTTTGTAGAATTTGATTGTCAATATTAATATTCTTTATCAATAAATAAAAATTTCCGGATTTTAATCGATCTTATATGTTATTTTGATGTTGAATTTTATGCATTTGCAATAAAAATCTTATCGATACTTTATTCTCAGTTGAGTTTTCTTTGTAGAACAGTTTACGAGAAATAATGATGCTCTCTTCTACAATGTAGCTAGTTTCTTTTTCGTCTAATAATTAGTTACTTCTAGGTGAAATTTATCGTTCTTATTTACTAGATATCACGATGTGGTGTTTGTATTTTTCTGCTTTGTTTTTTTTTCTTTAACCTAGCCATACATTATTTTTCATAGCCAATTCGATTTTTTTATGCACGAGAAACGAAAGAAAACGATAATTGCTTTGCTTACAGTCCCCATGTGTTAAAATATACTGTGGTAAATTTTTCTTTTGTGTAAGATAACAAACGCATATTTCTTACAGACGACAACTAAACAACCCGATCAAAGTGTAAGTATGAATGTCTCTTAATTAGCGTTGAAGAAGAATTATCATTCGGTTCGTTTATCTTGGCATTGTGAATTTTGTTTTTGTGTTGAATTGAAGAAAAAGAATACTATGCTATACGTACAGTGAATAGTAATCTTCATGTATTGGTTATGCATTAGAGCATATCGTAATAAAGCTACGAAAAATGCATGTATAATTTCTTCATCGTCTACTACAACTAAATCAGATGAGCTAAAAAATTTAGTAATTTATCTCGACATTTACCGTATACACACACTTTATATATTCACAAATGTGAATTTAGACTTTTAGTGGCTTCATAAAAACTAAATAATTTCGTATTAATGCATAAAAACTTTTAAATTCTTAAATAATGCAGCCCACTCTTTCTTTTCTATAAACAATGAGTTTAAAATTTATCTACTCGTCTTTTCATGCATGCCTATTTTAGGTATGGCTAAACAAATAAAAAGGCATGCTGCATGCAGCTTTCAAACAGGTAAGATATAAAAATTGTCTATTGGAAAAAGTAATCTTTCACATTCATCTGTGTGTCTTTAGACAAACCATGGCTCAATCTTCGAAATGATTTGGATGGAAAGATCATGTTGCCCCATGAACTCGAAAAACATATGAAAGACCCTCCCGAAAATGTCAATAGTGATATACTGAATCGTATCCATGGTTCGATGATTGGACTGGCTTTAGGCGATGCCTTAGGTGCTTATGTTGAATTTCGGTCTCATCACTATCTTCTTAAAAAACCGGTTACCGATCTAAAAGGTGGTGGCACTTGGAACCTCAAAAAAGGAGAGGTATCTTCCATTCACATGAGTATCTTGTCTTTTTTTCAGTTAGCAAATGTTAAAGTTAAGATGAATCTGAAGAATCAGTTTCACAGCTACAAGTCTCAATATGATTACATATAAACTCATTGTCATCAATGTATTTAATCGATGAAACTCATTGTTAGACTGAGAAAGAATTCTATGTTCATTTTTTTTTCTAACTCTACAGTTAAATAAATGAATTTCTTATGTTAGAAGTTCTGTAGGATCTGCAAAAGAGGAGTAGAAGATGAGATCGTATAGCTATCTAGAAAAATAAGCTTTACTTCTGTGTTTTCTGAATAATATCCATGATCAGGGTAATTCTTATATTTATATTGGCATAGTCTTCGAGATATGTATACTTTAGTTCACTGACGATACCTCCATGGCTCTTTGTCTTGCAAATTCATTGGTAGCTCGACGCGACTATGTTCCTTACGATCAATTGGTTCGTTACAAGTGGTGGTATCGACACGGTTACATGTCCTCTGTGGGTCACTGTTTTGATATTGGTTCCGCCACGAAACACGCTTTGGCGAAATTTGAAAACCGCCAAGAGGAATTTGCAGAAGAACACAAAATTCCTCTTGATCAATTAGATTATCTTTCAGATTCTAAACTTTTGAATAAGTTCAACGTGCATTGCGGTGCAGAAGGTGCAGCTGGCAACGGGGCACTAATGCGACTCGCCCCTGTACCACTATTCTTTTATCAACATCCTACTAAAGCTGTCGAATTTTCGGGACATAGCGGACTCATTACTCATGGTGATCGAAAAGCCTATGATGCTTGCCGCTACTACGGTGCTCTGATTATGAGTGCTCTCCATGGTGAAGATAAAGAGCAGATGCTTGACGAAGACTTTTACTCGAAACACGAAAAATGGTTTAATAATAAACCACTCCATGCGAAAATTCTAGAAGTTGCTAAAGGATCTTACAAGAAAGATGGATATGATCAAGGAATTCGAGGTAACGGTTACATTGTCGATACTCTTAAAGCTGCTTTATGGGCATTTTGGTCTGACAATGGAGATTTTGAAAAAGGTGTTCTTGCTGTTGTAAATCTGGGTGACGATACTGATACAACAGCGGCTATTTATGGTCAATTAGCTGGTGCCTACTACGGCTATGAAAAGTTACCCAAAAAATGGGTAGAGCAAGTGTATGCCAAAACATTGATTTCAGGTTTGAGTAAATGGATGGTTTATGAAGGTTCGAAATGGCTACCAGAAGAATCGGCCACGTCAACTATATCTTCTGTGATTGTCGAATCAGCGTCTCGTGACGGGAATCAGTCATCTTTTGAACGGGCAAGGTGTTCAAGTGCGCAACCATGGACAAAACAAGATCAAAAGTTTGGACCGAATTCCTCGGCAGAAAAGCTAGATGCAACATCAAATTTATCTTCAAAATTTGAACAATTGAATAGTCATAATGCAGGTCATCGGTCACGACAAAATAATCTTCTTCAGCCGGATCCTTTAGTGAGATCCACTTCAAATAGGCGATCTACATCGTCTCATCCAAAACCACCACAGCACGACGATCTTACATCAGTATCTAAACGTAAGAGCTCTAAATTTCTCACTGACAATATTGAATGAGCATTCGAAGAGAAAGTATTAGATAAAATGCTTTGGATCTGCTTTTGTGAATTGTATATTTAGAACGTTTTCAGATTATTGTTGATTTTTCATAGAGATTTATCTCCACAAAAAGCATAAATCTTGCCAAGATGTGTGTCGGTGGATCCAATCCTTGGGTGAGGAGTATGCAAACTATGCGAAACTCTGTCAAAAGTACGAGGTCGATGGGTATTGGCTTTTGAATCACGTTGATGATAAAAGGCTTGCTGAATATGGAATTGATCATCCAACTCATCGACAATTCATCATGAATGGTATTGAACAATTAAAGAAAGAGTGTCCGTTGAATTACTCAATCACAGAAACATAAGAAACTCTCTTATTTTCGTTTTCTTTATGCAAACATTGATATTCAATATATGAGTTTGTAAGGTGCTCATGATTTATATAAGCATAATGGATTCGAATGTTTTAAACATGATGCATTAGAATTTTTTTTTATAAATCATTAAAATTAAAAAAGATAAACTTGCATATTGTTTTTTACTTCGACAATATCCAACAATAAGATAATTTTAAAAAGTCTAAGTTCGTAACAAATTGTACAAGAATCGGTAACCATCATAACCAGATTGTTCTGCAGACATATAATTTTTCTATATGTGTATTAAGGCTCAGCTTTTTTCTATTAGTTTTTTTTTTCATTTATTATTTCAATTTTTTTTCTGGCTTCTACGTACTAGTTGTTCGTCATGAATACCATATAAAATACATAAGTGGATTTGAATTATCATCATACAAAATGAATAGCGACTAAACTAAACTTGTTCATAATAGTACCTGATAGCTAAGAATTTCTTTGATAGTCTTTAAGGATGATCAATCAAGTTTCTTTAAATTAGGAGAAAATGCTCATTGTACTAGGTAGATGCAATTGCATTTAAATACCGAAATTGATCTTGAACAACTCACAGCGGATGCTTTTTCAAGGAACTGACGCATGTGTTTTTTTTCTCTTAACTCAAAATCGATTATTTCGTTTTTAATATTACTTCAGAGTCTCTAAATATAGTAATTTAATTTTCAATGGTTTCATTTTGAAAAAGTAGTCTTTTCAATGAAAAATCCTTGAAGAGAACTATTGCTCAGTATTAACATGAAGAGTTTTTTCTCTCTCTAAAATAAATTAATGAATTATACAAGATGTGATGAAGATTGTTTTCCTGTAAAACGTTTGTTCCTCTATAATAATGGATCTTATCTACTCGACCGACATTTTTCTAAAAAAAAGTCTCAAAAGGGTAAAATAGGGCTCTGTTTGGGATATCAATATATCTTTTTCTTAGACACACATTCTTTAATACACGTTTTTTTTTATCCATTCAGCTGATGAATATTATTCTTTTTATCTTCTCTCCTGAGTTTGTTTTGATAGATATGAATTTATAAGATGATGCGCCCAAAGCAAGCGAACATTTAATTGTAAAATTTCTTCTTGATCATAGTTTATCTTCAAATTTTTTTCTTGCACATTTTTAATTAATGTACATGTATTATTCCAAAAAAATGAAATCGATTTAAGTGATTTCCTTATTACCAATACTATCGTTTATTAATCGAAATAGTTTAATTTTTATTTAATTGCATAGTCGTTACAGTTAAAAGCTCCTTTGTTTTTATTTGCTGTTGTTTATTACATACTTAAAGCCGAATGTGAGAATGTATCACAACTACGTCAATATTTAAAAAAAAGTTTTACAAGTAGTAAACAAACACAGCACTAAACTGAATAAAAAAAAGAAGCACTAAACTGGAATTATTATCAATTCAATACGAAAGACAAAACTAATGTACTGTTTTGTCAATACCACTCAGTTCACTATCTAAAATAAATTAATAAAATTCTTCATAAAAAAAGAAATAGACGATATTAACCATACAGATTATGTTATTCATTAGTATCAGATGTTTTTGATAATAATACTGCATCATTTTTAAATGAATCATGTACATGAGTTGGCGTTTCAACAGATGTTAGAACATCTGAAGTAATAGTTTTATCATTTTCAACAGTTGATGCAACTAAAGGAGATTTAATTAGATATTTAAAAAGTAGAACATAGATACCTATATCAGGATTTGATGCACCACTTTCAATTGAAGCGGCTGAAGAATTATTTGCTGAAGATTTTGTTAGATTTTTAATTTTTGCTTGTAGCTCTGATCGTTCTTGTTGTAAAGTCCGACATAATCGATCAAGTTTATCAAGTTTAATATCTAATTGTCGTTTTTCTTTTTCCATCAATTTCATCTTAAATAAATCAAAACTATTTCAAAGCAAGAATTTATGTTAAATGCATACATCCTCATTCGATTTTCGTTGATTTTTTTCAGCAATTTCCCATTGATTGCGAAAATCGTTTCGTTCTTGTTCTAAAATTTGTATTTTTTTTCCCATTCTTTCGATTTCTGTGTGACATGATGTTACCATTTGGCTACTTTGCTGAATAGCATTTTGAAATTCTTGATAACGTTCAGTATAAACTTTCAATTGAGTACGAAGACTTAATTCAGATCTAGCTAATTCTTCACATTTTCTATATAGAAGTAATTGTTCAGCTTCGCTCTTTGATTTAACGGAAGCAAAAAAAACTTATTTTTTAATAGGAAAAAGAAAATTCAAAACGTACCACTTGTCGTTCTTGTTTAATTAATTCTGTTCGTTCATTAAGTACTGCATGACTTTTTTCTAAACTAGCTTCAGTTAAACGTAATTCAAGTTCTTTTTTCTTTAAAGCTGTTTCGAACTCCTGAAACAAGTCTTAGAAAATAAAAAGTCAAAAAACAAAATCTGAAATGTACTGTTTCTCGCAATTCATATTCTTTGACAACGGATGTTAATTGTTCAGATAATTGAAGATTCCGTTCACGTAATGATGTAGATTGTGCACTATAATTTGATAATTGTGAAGTAATTTCATCAATTGTTGTCTAAAACAAATCAAGGATTTTGAATAACGTAAAAAATCAACAAATACTTGGAATTTGCTAGCTAATTCTTGGCGTTTTGATTCGTCATCTTGTTGTCGTCGAACACATTCGTCCTTAAAAAAAAGACGCTTAACTAAAGAACAACAGAATCTATTGATTGTAATTGTTTACTCGAATTTGTTGATTATGTCGATGAAGTTCTCGACAAAGACTTTCTAATTTCGATTTAGCAGCTGATGCACGACTATTTTCAATTAATATTTGATCTCGTTCACGAATTAAAAATGTTGATCGTTTTTCTAATTCATTTATTTTCACGTGTGTTAAACGATTTTGTTCTTGTAATTCAACTAATTTCGTTGCTAATGCTAATAAATTTTTTTGCGGGTCTTGATCAATTAACATTTCCAATAAATTATCTAAAGAAAAACATGAATAAAAAAACGAATTAACTAATTTAAACATACTTGCTACTTCGTCTATATTTCTATGTGGTTCTGATTCATTATTCGTATTTGACAAAACACTATCATCCTTGTTTATTATTGATGAACTTTTATCATTCGATTGTTTATTTTCTTTAGAATCAGCCGCTAGAACAAAGAAAATTGTAATTGAAAAAATTTTTTGATTAAATAACGTACCAAATTTTTCTAATTTTTGAATAAGTTTAGCACCAATTGCTGTTTGTCCATGTGTTCGATTTGAGGTTGTTGATGAAGATTCATCAATATTTATATCTTCATTGGCAATTGAAAGATTACTGGAATCCATTACTTCCGTATGTTTTTCATCAGTTGATATTTGATTTGAATCGAATGAAGCACTTTCATTTAGTTCAGAGTCGATATTTGAAGTCATTTGAAGATAAAAAATATCTGAAATCAATATAGATAATTGCACAATAGATATAACTCAAAATAAAACTCAAAAAGAAGAGAATAACAAAAGTCATGGTTACATTTATCTTTTTCAATTCTCTTTGATATTCTGATTCATACGTTGTCGAATATCCAGTTAGTCATCGATTAGATGAAATTGATTGGAAAATATTGTTTGTTTAGAACAAATAAATAAAGAACCAGTTAATGTCAAATAACAGATATTTTTCGATTGCAATTATGAAGCTTTTTCTTGTTGATGCTACATATTATTATATAATATGAAGATATACACAGCATGCGATTGAGCGACCTCTGTTGTAAAAATTTATGCCAGAAGTAAGTGATGTAATAGGAAGAACATTCAAAATAGATTCTTGTATCAAATAAATTTTTTTTTTGCCTGACACTTGGTTGATAAGTATTTTAATAAGAATATTGAATTCGGATCCTATTTATCCCAGACATTTTTGGTTAGATTTCCTGCTGTGGGCATACTTTATTGTTTGAAACCAATGTTTAAACAACAAGAAACCATTCGGAAAAAGTATTCAAGACACTAGAAGTGACAATTTTCATTTTAACTATTTATTGAATTCTTTTTAAAAATGAAATAACTATCAATAGACTGTCAATAAAAGTTTGGGAACACTGAAGAATTAGAAATGGTAATTCTTCTTTAGTTGACTCTCTCTTGAAGAATGATCAATGAGTTCCCTAGAAAATAAGAAATGCCAGGTTCCTAAGAACTCTTTACTTTTGCACTTTATTTTCACGAAAAAGTTGATTTGAGAAAAACGTGAAACCATGTACAGTTTTCACTATTTTCGTTATGTGTGTTTGATTTTTTAACGTTCAAAGACAATTTTTCGATCCTAAAATTTATTGAATAAAATAGATACTATTTTAGACTATGAAGTGGCCAAAAAACAGACAAAAATTCTGGGTTACGAAAACGAATATCCTAAAGTTATTTTCATTACATGCTTGAATCAAAATTTCAATAAGCTTTTGGAATTCAATTTGAATATGTTCAGTAGGCTTTTTAATACATCCTTTTCCTCAGAACTGCATTAATTTCAATTCTTAGAATTGATTTATGTAAAATTAATCATTTAACACATATCTATACAAACTAAAAAATTCAGTACAGGTTCCTAGCTAACAAATGAAATTGAATTTGATAGAAGTTGAAATTATTGAATTCATAGTTGTTTATATTTATGTTGAGGATTTTATGCTTGCAAATGAAAACTTTTTATAATTAATTATCGTTTCTATGTGCCAGTGAAATTCATGAATAAACTATAATTGTTATTATTTGTTGGTTCAATGATAGTTTGACAAAGTTCATCCATTTATTTGTCGAAGTTTGTTGATGCTCATCAAGCTGTCATTTAGAAGAAAAACCTCGACAACATTCATTACATGTGAATATGCCTGAACTCATTCTACATGTGATATGTTTCGATTTTTATTCTAATGAAACCATGTGAACGTTTTTAAATCGTATTTTATTTTGTAATACTATTAGAGATGGGTGAACCACTGATTTTTAGACTGAAGTCAATTTAGAGTTCAATCTAATTTTCATCCGGACTTCTTTTATTGAAAATAGAATATTGAAAGAATTATTTACTTGATCTGTATGAAAGTTTAACTATCGTGTGCTAAATTATTTATTAATTCAATTATTGTAAAACAAAGAATTCAATATATTATCATGAGACAGATTTTTGGGAAATAAGATGATCAATAAAAATCGAGATAAAAGGTTTTTCATATATATTTCGCATGCTTCATTGTATTTCAACATGAATATTCACTGTGCAAATATTTGTTGTTCTTCATTTCTATTTTTCCACTATATTTTTAAATTAGAAACTCAAAATTGAAATCAGACATCAATATATATGTATATACATTTTTTGACTCGACTTGCCTATCTCTGAGTACTATGAAAGAAAGAAATTTTTCTTAGTCATTTTCATAATAAAAAATGTTTTTTTTTATGTCATTAAGTATATGTAAAGTGATAATGTAAATACAAAGAAAATTTAGTAATGACGAGTTAGTGGGGTAATCCAAAAACATTGTAGGAAAAGGGACGCAGAGTTGAAATCAGTCGAAAGTCTTTGAGCTGGTTCAGTTCGGCCCGTTTGTTGAATCATTATTAATCGGTTCAGTAGAATGGCTTCAGTATACTCTTTGAAAGAGAATTAACTTAGTCAGATTTATCTCCAAACAATTGAGAAATAAAAACAAGTTTATTTAAATGACTATATTTATAATATAATATATTCTAAATTAAATATCAGCAAATAAAAAACTGAGATTTATGTTACATATAAAAAGCAAAACTATCATTCACTACTCGATTAAATAAAGATAATAATAATTGCTATTTATATAGAACAAAGAAATAAACCAATCTGAAATAGTTTTATTCATTCATTTATTTATTTATTTATTGGTGAATTTGCTGGTTTTCTTGGTGCACGTTGTTGTTCAAAACGATTTTCCATTTCAATTAAAACTTGTGGCGAATATCGTACAACTAATTTCACAGTACCTTGAGCTTGTTTAAGTAAATCTACAGCTTTTTCATGATATTCATTTTCAACAGATACACCATTAACTGATAATAATTGATCACCTTTTTTTAATCCACCATGTTTCCAAGCAACACCATTTGGAATAATGCGTGATATATAAATAGGAGAATTTTGTTCTCGACCACCCATAACATTAAATCCAAGACCTTCAGCAGTTTTTGGTAATTCAATAACACGTGGATGAGAATGACCTTCGCTAGCAGCAAAAGCAGCAACCTAAATTTATTGAATTTTTCAATAATTTAATTAAGAAAAAAAAACTTATTTAACTTACGGTTGCTTTAGCAGTAGCATTAGCTCGAACTTCAGGTGAACCAGTTATTTGTACTGTTTCATAAATTTTTTCATAAACTTCAAGTACAGCATGAAAAAAATCGCTTTGTAATATCCGTTGTAATTCAGATAATTTTGCTTCAGGAATTTCACTTGTTGTACGAAGACGATCAATTAAAACAATTGCTCGTTCGATATCTTTTCCTAAATTAAGCGATGATTCACCTGTCGTAGCTGACATTATCTGAAACATATATATTTAATAAAACACAAGAAAAATAAAATGCCGTGAGTTTCATTGAGAATAGCTACAGCATTTACCTAAAAGAACAATAGCTTCAATTAGACTGTATAATGCAAATCTCATTGCTCAATTTTTTCAATTATCTAAATTTACATCGACCACACATCACACAGATTAATTGATTAGGAATGAAAGAGAATTAGTTTGCCATTTATCGACAGGCAGTGAGAACAAAATGAAGTCTATTAATAATTTTAGACATGCAAAATTTACGTGCACATCATAACATATTTGAAAAGTGACTAGAATCTTTTTTTTTTCAACATTCTCATGTTGGTTATTTATGAATTAAAGTCATCTTTAATGTATTTCAAATATACTTTGTTCATTTGAAAAATAAACGACCGTAATTTAATCTGAAAAAAAAAGCAAATAGATTAAAATAAAAAATATATTCGAAAAATTAATTTGATAGACAAAAAATATTATTGCTGTGTTAATGGAATGAAAATAGAAGTTACAACGAAATAGAAATAAATGAAAACTTGCTTGAAAAAAAAAAACAAAAAATAATTTGTTTTTATGCACTGTTCTTTACTTGTGGGTTAAATGCTATTTTTACTAATTGTTCGTATTTACTCAAATCACAATGTTCTCTCTCATTAGCTGGCAGACTTCGATATTGCAATTGTAATAGATGTAAATAATCTTGTTCACTAAATTCTTGTCCATGTTCTTCAATTACATTAAGAATATCTTCTGGTTTTATTGCATATAATAACTCATAATATTGATGTGCACGCATTAATTCAGCATCACCAACTGTTCGAATTTGTGTTAATGTTTGTTCAATAGCAAATATATTTCGACACATTTTCGTTATACCTAATTCACTTATATGACTAAAACGTGGTGATGAACGTATTAATATTGTTGCTAAAACAAAGCCAAGACCTTGAAATAAAAATGAAAATTTCTTTTCATTTAATGAAGAATTTAATGTTTCTTGTAAACGTGATAAATCACGATTTAATGCCATTATATTTTCATCTGGATCTGTATCCATAGCATATGCATAATTTAAAGTATTACGAAAAAATAATGATAAATAATAAAAACAATGTAAACGAATTTCAAGAAATAAAACAAGTAATATATCATAAGATAATGTTAATATTGTTTTCATTGCATTAGAAAATATTTCTAAATTTATGTGAGATAATTTTAATTGATCATAGTGAGATGAATTTTGTTTCATTGAACGTGAAGTAAAACCAAGTGCGACTAAAATAAAAGAAAACAATGAATTATCTGCTCGAATTATTATTGAGAATAATTTCGCAATACTCGAGCTAAAAAGTAACGCATGATGAATGACTTGCGTTCTACATTTCATATTTTTATTATTCGATACATTGCATTAAAGCACAACAACACATACTACAAAATACAGCATGAAAAGCTTATTGAATAAATGTTAGTGTTCTGCTTGGAGCGATTATTTTCTCGTTGTATCTCCCGCGGGAAGCGAGAATGATATTAAAAAAAGAGTGCTTCCGAAAATCGTTTTGAATTATGTACAGGGTAGCACAAATGTCAGTTAACTACAGAAAAAATTGAATGTCTCCGCCATAGTTTGTTTAAATAAGATTATGTTTTTACCACTGATCAATAAGTGTTCATAGGTCGTTTTCGTAAGAGAAATATTAGGAAAGACTGCTTTGATATATCATTGTTGACTTCAATAAAGAATCACAACGTTTTGTAAGTTGTGGAAAACTCATGTTTCAATTTTCTTTATCAATTCTTAGTCTCTATGACGAAAGCTTTCAGAATACAATGAGAGTTAAAACATGTATCTGTGGTATGAATATCAGATCAACATGCAAGAAATTATGTTCATTTTTCATAATTCGTGAAGAACAATAGTTTCTTATTGAAGTTCAGCGATAATGCTTGAAAATAGTCTTTTTCAATGTTCCTCTTACGAAAGTTTTGATATATAGAATGAAATTTGAAAAAATATTTCAGAGTTATAAAAAAAATCATATTGAAATTTTTCAAGTTTCAAAGAAATCAATGAAAAATATGTACTGACAAAAGTGTGAGAATAATGAAGATAAAACAGTACAATTGGTTTCTTTTTCAATGTTTAAATTGAATATTCTATTCAAAAAAGTGATGAAAACTTATTTTTAATCTCTACCTATTGTTTGTGTTAATGTATCAAGATATTTTGTATCATTTAAAGATTTATCCAATATATCAAAATAATGTACCAATTTACAATATAACCAATCTAAACTTTCATGAATAGTTGCTAATGCTTTAATATGTTTATAATTCGAGCAAATATCATCAATATTCATCTCACTTTGACTAAAATTAATCAATAAAGTTTCAGTTTCTTTTGTTTGTCTAAAACGTATATTTTCAGCATTATCATCATTATTATCATTATGTATTAAATGTTCTTGTTTATTCATACGTATAAATGCATCAAATGCAGGCATTGTACGTAAATGACGATTTATATCTGGATCTTTAACCCATTCATTTGAATAAATTGATGTTCCAAATGAATCATTTTTTTCGACAATTGATAAAAATAATTTATTACATGATTCACGATGTTTAAATAAAAGATCAACAATAGCTTGACAAAAATCATCTGCATATATTGGAAGACATTTAACTAATACACATAGTTCTTCACAAGATTTAAATATTAAATAAGTTGATTGAAGAATTGGTATTGATAATTCAAGTTGTTTTTGTAATACAGATGGAATTAATTCAATTAGACGATTTCGATCAGTTATTGTTGTTGATGATGATGATGATAATTGAGCTGATTCACGGATATCTTTTATAACACGACCAATAAAACGATCACGAATAAATTCAGTTAATTTTCTGAAAAGAAAAACCATCATAACTTTTCAAAATTGGTACAAAGGTGTGAGTGAAAGACACAAACCTATACCCTACTTTTAGAATATTTTAAATAGTATCCATATGAATTCTGCGTGACCTAAGTGTATTCCAAAAGCTTCAGAAGATTTCAAAACTGAAGTCTTCGCTATTTCCCCCATAGTATAACCTAATCTACTTATTGAAAAATATTTCCATTTTTCATAAGAAAAATTCAAAATTTCGAAACATCCAATTCTCATTTACATACATTTTCCAAGATTAATAGTCGCTTAGCCAAACTGTTCTCATAAGCTTCGAATCTGTATCACATCTTCTATTGCGGTTAGAAAGTTACGACCCCTCTCAGAATCGAATTTATACCAGAAATGTTTTCTGGTCTACGTCCATAAAAATCGGGACCCATATCTCGTTAATGATAAACATTTCAACAACTTTTTTTTTCTATTGATAATAATATCTTTCAATCGCATAAATTCCGACGATGTTTCATCACAATGAACTTGAAAATATTAGAAATTCCTTAAACGATAGGAATTTTTTCACAGAGTTAAATTTTTTGTTTTATAAGAAATTATCAAATAAAATTAATCGTAATATAAAATAATACCGGTGTGTATGAAAAATTCATTATTTATAAAGATTTTTCTTCGAGAATCTAATCGAACAATTCAAAATTGATTGGATCAGAATTATCAATGACAGTTTTTAAAATATAAATTCTGACATATAAAATACTTCAAGAGTCCTACTTCTCATTATGGATTGACCTATTTGGATGATAAGTTTGAGGTAAAGTTTTCAGAAATAAGTAGTCCTAGTGAAAAAAAAAACAACATTTTTGATAAAAGTTTCAGCTCGATATATCAAATTAGACTGAAATTTCACTGTATTCATAGTTTTCAAGGGCATCTCTATAATCTTGTGATTGAATGAAGTACAGAAACCAAAACAAAAATGTGATTTCAAGGTATTAAATCTCGACTTTCTCAGCATATCAATATAATATTAAAAAAATCTAATTGCAAGAAAGTTTACTGTCATTGACACTTTTAAAACAGGCAAAAACTTATTATTTCTATCTTGAATTGTATGAAAGAAGTTTCTATTTTTCTGACTAAAAGCAATGTTTTGAGTAAGATTTTTATAAAACCACGAGAATTTTTTCGAAGAATGTGATAGTAACGTCAAATTTTTCTCGGATAAGTTTGTTAAAATCTGTTCATCTTATAAAAAATTATATGAATTTGGATGCAGGAAATTTCGGTGCATCTTCCTATGATAAAAACTCAACTCCAATATTTATTTTTGGATAATGGAGAAGAGAGATGATTTAAATTAAGGTATAATTTTGTTTAGCAAAATTTTAGAACGAATATTATCCTTATTTTCAAAAGAAAATACTTCAAAGTTGTCATTTTCATCTTTCATAAAAATTTTCTTTTTTTGAAATTAAAACGTGTTCTTTTTTAGTCTTAAAGTCGTACGAATAAAGCAATGGATTTAATTATCTTTCATATTTTTCATCAAATATAAACATATCTAACCTGTCAAGAATACGTTTAGTTGGATGTAATGTAAAACTCGCATCGATATCTTCAATAATTCTTTGAAGAACATCATGTACAGCTGTAATATTTCGATAATTTGGTTTACATACATATTGGTTATATATAGTAGCACGTTGTTTTGTAGTTGATGTTTCTTGTTTCATAGCAAAACAATTTTTTTCTTGTAAATATAATGTCATGGAACTGAATTGTGCGGATTGAGAAAATTCAAAAAGTCGTGGAATTTGCTGTGAACGTGTTGGAGCTTTTTTTGTTAAATAGTGTGAAAAATCAATTAATGATGGACGATCTGTATAATCAGTTGAATTTGATGTTGATGTAGAATTAGATGATAATGTATCAAGTACATTATTAAAATCAACATATTCACTTAAAACATCGCTAAGTACTTGTTGAAGAGTTTCCCAAATAAATTCAATAGAAAATATATAGGGAATTTCAAATTTTATTTCACTTGGAACTGATGTAGATTCTTCTGATCCATGATCTAAATAGATAAAAATGGATTTATTCAATAATTTTTGAAAACTTCAAAGTACAGGGTGTCTCATAATTATAAGACCCCCTACTAAATTTCCACAAAAATAAAGATTTCCTTAACTAAAGAGGGTTTCATTTCCAATCTAACGTCACACCTAAAGACATCTAGCAGTACTCTATCATATACCATATTAGTTTCAATTTAGTCAATTACCATTAATGAATAAATTTTAAAAATTTAGAATCAATGCGTCTCATAATTATAAGACCCCCCTCCCCCAATGATATAAAAATATTTAACTAATTCAAACTCTATCAACTCAAATGATCCTTTTTAGGAGCCATTCGAAAGAGGAGACATGCAGCTATATGNTCTTTCTTCAACAAATGTTCACAGAAGAAACAAGTATGGGACGATTGCTACGACAATGTTTAGTGCTATACACTTCAAATTTGTTATCTTCATCAATACCTTTAATACTGACCTAGGCAAAATTTACGTTTACATCTGATGCTCAATAATCAATGTTATTTGACCATTTTTAACTGTGCTTATTTTTGTCGGCATTCGCTGAGAATAGAACTTGAACTATGTTCAAATTCATGAATCAACATCATTTATCTTTACTTTATAATTGATAAAATCAGTTGGATCCTTTGGACTGCGATTTGTGCGTGAATAAAACAGTTTCATATTACCATTGAATAATGTAACAATAATCAAAATGTTGTTCTTCATTGTAATAAAATAAAATTGTGAAAAATTTATCTTTGTCCTTACGAGTTTTAACTATGGAGCTCTATTCGATGGAATAGGTAACAGTTCAAAATATGATTTGGATTTGAACTCACTTAACTTTTGTGCAAAAGCACAGTCATTCGACAGGGCTAAATAGTTGTCACTTGTTGATAATGAGAAAATTAGTACGTTATTCAGTAAGCTTGAGCCTATCACCAACACTCACTAAAACAATTCCATTCTGTTTTAAAATATTCAAGAACTTGCATTTTTGCTGCTTGATTATTATTTGCTCAATCGGGTATGAAAGGTGTGGATGCAAATTTTTAGCGGTTGTCTATATTTTAATCTTAGATCTTCATAAAAATTTTAAATAACATAAGCAAAGAATAACATAAAGAGATATAGAAATTGAAATAAATATTCATTATTCTGATGTTGCACTAGATGCAGTTGAAGATATATTCATAGGATGAACTCTATTAATATTTGAATTATACCAACGTTTCAAAGATTGCCAACATATTTTCATAAAAAAATATTTAACTTGATGACGAAATCTTGACGATGTAGCAAAAAATATATAAAAGTTAACCTATAAAAATAATTATTCTACAAATTTAAATAAAATTTAAGATAATTCATCTTACTGAATGATTTCCAAGCATTAATGATACAGTGATTGCTGAAGTTAATTGAAGAATTGCATAATGAACAGTATCTACCAAAGATATGTTGAGATTAAGTATATATATTCGAAATATTGTGTATGGTAATAAGAGAATAATAAAGAAAATGACACGTACAAAAATCATTGCTGTTAATTGACGATCGAGTTTTCGACGTACAATCGGAATTTGTCGTCGAATTAGATGACGAACATTACGATAGGCCAATACACTGAATAAAGATGAAATTAAAATTGGAAAAAAACCATGAACAAAAATATAATAAACATAAGAATAATAATATGTTAAACCTTTGTTGGTTATTATACAACCAAATGGTGTAACAATGTCATAGAAAATAATATAAGGTATAGTTTGCGAAATACATAAAGTAGTTGCTACAATTATTAAACATTGTGCAAGATTTAATGTGCTTATTTTTCGAATAGAAAAGTGATAGTGAGTTGTAAGATATTGATCAAGTGCTTCAAAACATACTATAAAATCAATAAGAAGTCGACATGATTGACCCAATGTTGTTCTTATTTTACAATAGAAAATAGATATATTTCCTGGATCAATTCCGTATATTCTTTGATAAATTTGAGGAACAAAAATTTGAATTAAAAAACAAAGATTGATAATAGATTCGACAATTAAGTAAAAAGCACAACGATTGCCTTGAAAAATTTTCACTTTAGTAAATATAAATATGTTCAGAATATTACCAATAATACCGACAACGAAAATAATGACTGCAGTATAAAAGTAAATGTTTTGTGTGATAATAAGACGTTGAATAGCAAATGACGAGAACATTGTGTTTTGCTTGTTTCAATGAATGTGAATGTGATTCTTTCTTCTTATTCGATCTTTCTATGTTTTTTCATCGACTCTATATATTAGATTATCTTGCTCAGAACATACAGAGCAATATAGAGAAAAAAGAGTTACGGCTCACAATGACAGGATTAGATAATACACCGTTGTGTCAAACATTAATCAAGAAAACGAGGGATGTAAAATCGTGAAATTGATACTAAAATAAGTTACATGAACAACATAAGATTTGATTATATTACGATAAACATATTTGTATATTATTATCTTAATTTTCTGCTTTACTCTATTGATTTTTTCTACTTATCATGATCAACTAGATGCCCTAATTTGATATAATGAATATTTAATTGTTATTTCTTCATGAAATAGTAAAAATAAATTAATGGAAAAAATGACTTTTTGTTTATTATTTTCATATTAATAAAATTCTAACTTTTGTCTGTCGGATAACCTCTTTTGTTTTATTTTGAAAAAAAAATTTATCGAAGTTAATTATCAGTGGATTTTTTTTTCTAAGTAAAAACTAAAAACTAAACTAAATATATCTATCAGTGACGAACTGACATTCAAACGAATTTGTTGTTATGTCTAGAATGAAATAAAAGCTAGAATTACCATTTCAACTTGAAAAAACATTCTTTTATACTTTAATAGAATGTTTTATGACGTTAATAAATTGAATATACTTCTATAGTAAATAAAGATTTTACGCTCATATTTACAGAGAAAAACTCTCTGACAATAATCCCTAATACATGACCAACTGAAAAAAAATACTCTACTTATTAAATGGCAACATAAAGCTGATTATTGAAGAGATCGCGCAGAAAAAGTAAGATTGTTTCACTTATCATCAAACAATTATTATCACATATGTTTGAGATATTCGAGATGAAAATAGATAATCAAAACAAAATGACGCAGAGAGATTTCGATTTATGATACCGGAAAAGAAAACACATAATCAAACTTAATTAACAACAATCAAGAGATGATATATACATATATATATATATCATCAATATATAAACACACTTTTGTGTTGACACTTTTCAACGAAAAAATCAAAACTGGAATTTAAGCGATATTTGAATATATATTATTTTCAATATGTTTTTCTTTTTAAAATAAAACTAAAGCTACATTAAAAAGTCTTCAAAGAAAAAGATGTAAAGTCATAGGGTATGAAAAATGTTGATTCTGTTTGTGAATAAAAAAGAATCTAATTGAACTACGCTATTTCAGAAAAGTAGGACATAATAGAAAACTTTAGATAAGCTTCTTAGAAAAAGAGAGCTTTTTCTTCATGAAGCGAATGCAAACACTATAATTTTTAAGCATTTTATTTAATAATGACACTTTTATCATAAGAAATCTATTTATTGATGCTAATGACTTAGAAAAAACATTATTTTTTCCTTTTATGTCAATGTTTATGCCCTATGATCCTTTTGTCGCAACTAATGGCGTTGGAAACTTGAATGTACATTTATGATTGTGATGATTTAGTATAAAATAAAAGAGAATCAAGAATAGCAGTATAAAAGCAAAAATGAATACGATGATACAATAATAAAATTATAATTTACTTATTTATAAAATATCATTGCATTTCATACCATTGAGGATTTCTTGTCACGTAATTATCGTTTTATTAGATAGTTACTTTTTCTTACAAGAGAATGGATGACTCTTTTAGTAATGAAAGAAAAAAAATGGTTACCTAATTGATGAAAATAATTGTTCAGTGACTTTTGACAAAAGCAAAACTTTTAAAACATCTTTTGCACATTGTCTAGTTGTGATTGTCTCATTTTGTTCGTTCTATTGATAATACAACTAAATCTTACGATCACAAGGCAATTACTCTCAATTGATATCTACCGTTTGAGTTCATATTAGGCTCACAAGGAGATCTCGGCAAGACTAGAAAAATTCTAAAATGATTCGTATCTATGGACTTGTGTAATCAAGTTATGACCGCTTTATTGAATTTTTGATCCAGCTTTAGGAATTTACCGAAAAGTCAAATAAGCAGTATTTCGATCTGAAATTTCATCTATAAATAGGTCAAATGAGTAGTAGAATATGTTGAAAGTTTCAGCGGAAAAGATGACCATAGCTCGAATTCAGAAGTCAATTGGGCACAAACCCTTTACAGATTTTTTTAGTCTTACCAAGATCTGTTCGTGAATTCAATATAAGCTCAAATAGTAGATATCATACTGGATAGCTTTTTCGTCAGTTTTAAATTGTCAAAACTTGCGCACCATTTGTATAATTCAGCTTAGTAAATCATCACTTGAAAAGCAGCTATTCTATCAAATGTACCATTCAGTTTTATGATAATTAGAAGAAAAAGTATTGCAATGTTTGAAAATACTCGAATATGACAGAAACTGGTTTTGCTACGAAGAGTAAATTCCCTAGAAGTCCGAAAGAAGAAGTAAGAACTTAATAATCATACATAAAAAGACATAATTTAAATACCTAAGTACTATTAGCATTCACTTTAAATTTCTTTGAAACAAAAAAAAATATATGTTTTACATAGTGACAAAAATGTTGACAAATTAATATTGAACAAGAAAAAAATGTGTATATTATTGGGTTTTTCATTTAGTAAAGATGTTTTCATTGTAACGATTATATTAATAATTTATTGTGAATGTACTATTGAAATCTATATTCAACAAATGATTGCATTCATAGAATTTAACCTGTTTCGTAGCTTCATATGATTTCCGTACTCATTCTGGTGTTAAAATACCTGAATATTATGGATTATTTGCGAATTTTGTGTGTTATACGAAGTTTCCATGATTTTAATTTTAGCATACATTTTTAGTCTTCATAATGAATTGTCTTTTTGGTTTTTAGTAGATGTTTTTTCGGTTTTAAATAGATACTTATTGATGATTTCAATAGATTCTACTGCAGTTGCTAGGCAAGATTAGTCTATCGACATATTTTTTTTTCATTTAAAAAGAGAAAAAAAATTTGACAAGTGTTAATTATTGTGTATTTTCAATAGGGTCTATCTCATTCTCTTTATTTTATTCACACTATAAATGGCATCTATATCATTGAATCCTTAAATAAATACATTCTTGATTGTTCTAATCTTTCCAATTCATTTTTGTTTTTCGATGCACGATACAAACACATACACGTAGAGATTTATTTTTCTGATGCATTATTTTTTTCATTGATTAAATTAAAATTGTCAAGAGAAAACGAATGCGAATCATAACGTATTTTTGGATCTATTTATTCAGTTGTATTCTAATTTCAATAGTTATTGGTGACTATGAATATGTCAAAGGTATGATTATCGAATAGAAATAAAATTGTTTAAAGAATTTCTTTTATAAAGAAATGGGTTTTAAATTTTGGCTTCATCCAGGTGTTGAAGAATGTTATCATGAATTATTAGAAAAAGGTGCAAGGTTATATTTTATGTATGAAATTTTAAATGCTAATACACCTGAAGATAGTATTGTTGCTTATTTTCGAAATGCTTATAATAGTAGTATTGTTGTTATATCAAAAACATCTCAACATGGTCGTCTTGAATTTACAACAAATGAAACAAGTAAGACTAACGAGGGAATATACCTAGGTCTATAAGCCATTTTGATATCATCTTTTGACGTGAAGTAAATATTGATGTGGTATTAAAAAAAGCTGAAAACAAAACGATATTTGTTGAATTTTGATCAATAATTTTATTTGCATTAAGATTGCAACTAGACTAAATTGTGCACAAAATTTCAGAATTTTTAAACAAAATCATTATGTAATATGGATTCTTCAAAATCTTCATGAATTTTACACGGACTGTGAAAGAGTACCCATACTATAAAAAATTCAAATCTTGTGTAAATTACGTTGAAAACTTCGGAAAATTTTGTAAATAGTCTATTTCAGTTGAGGCCTTGATATAGGGAAAATTTTAGATCAAAATCTGACAAATATAGTTTTGCTGGAAACTTTGAGTACCATATAGGGTGTTTCATAAGATTTGAATCTCGATGAAACTTAATCTATATGGACATAAGGAATCATCTCTAACTGGATATACCTGTCTGAGATTTAAATATGCGTGTCAACATTTCAAATAACATAATATTAAATGACATTTTCTCTTGTAAGAGTAGTAATTGACACACACATATGTATAATGTTAGATTTATCGAAATCGATCAACGAGATTCTTTTTATTAAAAGTGATGAACGTATTTGAGATGTTGGAGACTTTTTGTGAGCAATCGATCAGTTGATCAGTCAAATTTTACTCTAAACAAACAGTTCAATATGAATTGAAGTACATGAACACATTGTGTGTCCAGCGAAAAACAAAACATTGCACAAAATGAGAAGATTTTTATTGTGCAAACAGTGTTCATATCTTTCTTTTATTTTAAATTCCTGATTCTGTATATAATTTAAGTGATTATCTAAGATATGACTTATAAATAAGTACATGTCGAAAAAATATAGAAAACATTGAAGGAAAAACTACGAGGAAGACAGTGGCTCAACAATTAAAAGTCGATTGCATACAGAATAGAGAGAAATCACATTGTGAAAAAATGATTGATAAAATTTCTAAAAGATTTAGCGAAGTAACAATACACAGTCAAGATAAATACATGATAGTTAATTGACATTTTTTGCTTCATAATTTATTATTTGAATCAATCAAATATATTGTTTTCTTTTTCCTGAATAAAAAAAAATCTCGTTGGTCGATTTCGATAAATCGAATATTATATTCATATATTTCTAGTACTATTCTTACAGGAGAAAATATCATTCAATATTATGTTATTTGAAACGTCGATATAAGTACTTGAACCTTATATTGATACCTTCAGTAAGAAATCATTTCCTGTCTGCATATAAATTAATTTTTGTCAAGGTTCAAAAGTTAGGAAATATCATGTAGAGAGAATTGTTTAAAAAAATTTCTA